AAAAAAAAAAATGTTATCTGAAACTATATCTGCTGCAATGCCATGCTGCTGGGGCAATAATATAATATAAGTAAATAAGGGATTATTTGGCATTTTATGTTATTATACTTTTCTTTGCGTGGTAACGTTATTAATACTAATAATAATAATAATAATAATAATAATAATAATAATAATAATAATAATAAACCAAATTGTGCAGTATGAGGTTGGATGGCATATCAAGAAGTTAATACAGAACAATATAAACCCCTAAAAGCAATATTAACAATATTCGGGCGAAAATAATAATTTGTTTAGTTTCGGGGGAGAATTTTAGAACTTTAACGTTAAATGGAGGAATAAAATAAATTTATTAGTTTTGGTGGGGGGAATTAATAATAAAGAAAAATGTTGTTAAATGAGAAAAGTAATAAAATTCTGACGAAAAATTAGTTTTGTGGAAGAATTAAAAAAAATAAAGAAAAAAGAATTGAAAACCGCTAGAAGGAGGGCTTGAACCTCCGACCTTGTGGTTAACAGCCACACGCTCTAACCAACTGAGCTATTCCAGCTTCTTGTGTGTTTTCATACGTTATGGTAAATGTAACAAAATAACATGTGGGTAATAGATTTTGTCTTTATTTCGCCGTTTTGGTCGATATTTTCTGCAAAACGGCAGCTTTGCTGAGCGTGTTTCACAAGTGTTGTAAGATTGTTACTAAGAGCATCTACAATGCATTGGGTCTAGTTTTGTCTATATGACATGTAAATAAACCCAAGTCTTTGATGATATGGATAAAATTATGTAAAATTGCTAAAATCCACTCCAATGCAAAGAGACTAGGTCTCTACTTGGGTCTAAAATAGAATTAAGGGTAGACCGGGTGTCCTTTTTAGGCTGCCACGTCAGCAGGACCCAGTCTACTTTTGTTTGCATTGGAGAATATATTTTTTTAGACTAGATCTATTTCTTAGGTGGCATACAATTTTTTGTAATTGAACCCAAAGCATTGTGGATGCTCTAATGAGAAACTGAGATTTATGAAGGCCAATTTTGGTTGCCTGTAATGTCGTGCCGTAGTGCCACTGCTGGGAACTTGATGAGTCGGTTGTTGATGTAAAAGAAAGTGTTCGATAAAATGTCGGCTGTGGGCGTTGGGCCGGATGCCATTATCTTTGGGTTGCTTGCGTATTTGTATACAGTTAAGGAGCCCGACGGAAAGTGTTCGAGCTAGAGGGATGATTGGTAGGCTTGGTCACGTAGCAAAAATGATTGAGAGAATATAGAGAAAACTATCAATATGTTTTTATTTTAATCAAAACTCAAGTGTCCTCTAAAACAATAGAAGATAAGAGCTTGCTTGTTCATGGATTAATTTGCTCAATATGAAATTGTAAGAAATTTCATGGGTATATGCATAACTATCAGACGAAATTAAATAAACCCTAAACATGTAATTCTATTAGTTAATAAAATATGGATCTTTGCATAATTAAATTGCACATAAAACTAACAAGAATTCAACTTATAGTCTTTTCTACTTTTTTTTATCTATGATGTTCATCTACGATCCTCTTTTTCCAATCTCTAACAACGGATTTGTCTTTGTCTATGAACTGTTTTTCTCTACCGCGTCTCTCGTCCTTCCATAAAGCCCTTCATGTTGAGAACTCTATTTTCGTATGAGCCGAGAGAGAGGGGCATGCAGTAGTATATATAGGAGACCTATAATCCTAATCCTACTAACATTCCTCATGTTCTAACCTAACTTATTGTGCAAGTCAAACATCACAAATTGGACTCTTTAATATTAGAACAATAATCCATTAACCACATATTCATCTTAATTAAGTTTGACTATTAACTCAATTATGTACAACAAATTATATAGTCCACAATAATAGAATAATATAAAATATTATTACATTCTCCCACTTGGACCAAATAAGTGTCCAAACCCAAATAACTACTTTAAGCGCGCACCTTTCATCAAACTTATGATGGAATACATATATCTATAAGTTTAAAATTAAAATAAAAATTAACCGGGTCATGGAGGTCAAGTCTTCAAGCGACATGATCTCTTCCATTTACCACAAATCATTTCAAATTCTACTTTATTTTAATATGGAACAAATTGTTTGTACCATAACCATAAGCCATCCAACTTTATGTATATACTATAAAATCAAATATTCAAAATGATGATAATATATGTGAACAACTAAATATCTTTAATCGAATTCAATAAGTGTCAAAACCATTAATTGAGCAATGTCATTCAGTACCGTGATACAAGAGAGGCGACACAAATTTTGGGTGAAAATCATTGCAATCGGATGATACAACTCTCTATAAACCAAGAATATATACACAAAACTAGGGCTACATATAACCTAACGCTAATACGGTAAATACACAAATATACACAATAACACCCCCCTCAAGTTGGAGCATGCGGATTCCGAATGCCCAACTTGCCAAGAAAGAAATCAAATTCACGCTTCCCAAACGCCTTGGTGAAGATGTCAGCGCGCTGTGCCCCAGAAGGAACATGAGTAGTAGAAATGAGACCATGAAGAACAGCATCTCGAACAAAGTGGAAGTCCACCTCCATGTGTTTAGTGCGCTCGTGAAAAACCGGATTTGCCGTAATATGCAGTGCAGATTGACTATCACAGTGTAACCGCATAGGCTGATAGTGAGCGACACCAACAGTAGATAGCAGTCCCCGTAACCACTTCAACACACATAATGTAGTAGCCATCGCCCGATATTCAGCCTCAGCAGAAGAGCGTGCCACAGTAGATTGTTTCTTGGTTTGCCAAGAAATAGGTGTTGTGTACAAATTATTCTTTTTACCGAGTACCGAATCAAAAGATTCGTTCCCCGGGTTGATCTCACGAGGAAGGCAGTTCGGAATTCAGTTCTGATATTGATAACACATAAAAGCAAAGAAAATCCTAAACATACTAACCAAATAGGGGAGGAATGATTTACCAACTAAGAAATAACATAAAAATAATAATCTACCTAAGAAATACGAACGAAACAAAGATGAGAAGCTAGGGAATCAGGGATAATTAATTTAAGTTCTAGCAAAGTCGGGCAATCAATTGTTCGGTTCGAGATTGACACTCTCGCTTAGTCATCTAGCGGTTCGCTCCCAATAACTCTTTGTAACAAGGGATTGAACATAGACGAACAAGTTCGAGCATACAACACAGGTCAATTATCCCAATCCCATTAACTTTTCGTAACAAGGGACGGGTCATCGAAAAATGTATATTTCGATCTAAAACACGTAGATTAGTCAATTACGACATCGTCTACCTCATGTGACCCTAGGACAACGACTGCTCCCCTTTCGGTTCTACAAGTCGCTAATTCAATTAGAAGAGAAATAATCGACTAATCACATAGAATCAATAAACCCTAACTCGACTAATCAACATTCAATTGTTACCAATTGCAAGATCTAAATATCACTTTTCGATTATATCAATCAACCAAGTTCAAATTCATCAATTCCTAATTAGAATAGCTCACATAAGCAAGAACAATTTAAGCCCGACAACTGCACGTTAAACAAAAACAATCAATCTCCTATCCCTAGCACAAAAGATCAGTTATGCAACATGAATTCAACGCAATAAATCGATTCCCTTAATTTAATCATTGTTCATGAATTAAACAAGAGGGAAAAACTTACAATTATTCCAATTCGAGTTCGAATATTGAAGTCGAGATACAAGCTTAATCCAAAAAAGAAAAAGAAATAAAAAGGAAATTAAAGATGAAAAGAAGAAAGAAAAATGAAGAAGAAAAAGAGAAGAGAAAAGATAATGGAATTTTCGTATTTTCTCGGGCTAGGGTTCGTCTCCCGAAGGGAAAGAATGAATCGATCGCTTTCGAAATCTGCTATTTAAAATCTGTCAAGCGCGACCTTCGCGACCGCGGAAGGGCCCGCTGGCCGCGGTGGAGAAGAGTTCCGCGGCCGCGGCTCTTCCCGAGGCCGCGACCTTTTGTTGCAGAAGGTTGAGACTTGGGGCTGTTGTTGTTCGTCGCGGCCGCGACTTCCTCTCCCGCGGCCGCGGCCAAGAAAACTGGACGGATTCGAATTTAAAGTAGCAGGGTCACCGCACCGTGGTGGAAGCTCGCGCCGCGATGGAGATGGTCGCCGCGCCGTGGTGGAGCTTCGCGGCGTGAAGGATGCTGCTGTCACGCACTGGTGCGGGTCTCGCGCCGTGGATGAGGTCCTTGCCGCGCCGTGATGGAGTCCTGTCGCGCCGTGATGGAAATCTTCGCCGCGGCTGATGAAGGTGGAAAGCTTGCAGCGGCTGATGAAGGTGGCGCCGCGTGATGGTCTGGGAAGAGCGGTTGTCGGAGGGTCGTGGTGGTACTGTTACGGAGGGGAAAAATGCAGCCATGAAGGTGGAGGACTTGTGCACGTTCAAGGGCCTGGGCGAGCTTGTGACTAGTTATCTGACCTTGCTTTTCGGTTCGTGCGAGCTCGTCTGGAAACGGAATTTAATTCCATTTTTCTTTCTTGTGTATTTCCAACGAGCTACTGTATTTATTGATGTTCACCCGGTCCATTAACCCTGAGAAATAAATCTTCCCGAAGCGTTCGACCTACACACCATAAACAAAGAAAAACCGGAAAAATATACGGAAAACACATAGAAAACAAAAATAGAACAAAACGCACAATAAAATATAAAAACAAATAAAAACCAACGAAAATATCAAAAACGGGGGAAAAAGAATAAGAGAATAATAATGAAAATGCAACAAAAATGGGACAAACAGCAGGAGACTGGCCCAACTAAATAAACCAACCAGAAAGAGAACGCTGAGTGAGAGGGCAAGACGCCCAATCCGAATCACACCATGCATGGAG